TATCTACACTATTTAAAAATCAAGAAGTTAAAAACAGTATCATTAGACAATGTCCCTCCACCATCTTTGTTCTCCTTCTGAACAAATCTCAAACTTACTAGCCCAGCTCCTAGGTAAGAACTGGCCATAATTATGTATCTTTCCAGAATAGCTTACACAAATAAAAGACAATATGAATACTATTACTTCCTAACCTATTTGACTTAATTTAAGCACAACTTACCTTTAGTTACTTATCATATTTTTTGACATCTTCCCATATCAGCACATAGAAAACTTCCTATCTTTTCTTTTCTGCAGAAGTATATTACATTGTACTTAACCAGTTTCTCACTGATGAGCATTTGAGATGTTTTCATTTTTTTGGTATCACTGTAGGTATATTCAACTACCTATAAATCAATCACCATATTATTATACTGTGAGAAACATCTCTAGTGGAATACTAATGGTTGTACTGAGATCAAAGGGAATACAAATGTGATTTTATAGCAGTTCTTGCAGACTTAATACTAGTAGGAAATCACCTGTATTTCTTAAAAAAATGTTTTTGGGTAGCAAGCAACAACATAGCCCAGATGTTACTAGTATCTAGACTAAATACATTCAAATCCCAGATACTAATAATGTCTAAGCTAGGTGTGTTCAAATCCTTTCTGCTTAACTTACTAGCTGTAAGTCGTGAGCTAGTTGCTTCATCTCTCTGTGCCTGCTTCCTTGACCATAAACTGAGGATAAAAATAGATGCCTCATAGCTGTCATGAAGTTTAAATGAATTTAAATACAAGGCACTTAAAACAGTTCTTAGCATGTAGTTAGTGTATAATAAATGCTTGCAATCATTATTATTTGAGAAACTATTGACAGAAGAAAAAAGGATTAAAGGAGATATAATAGAATAGTGGTTTTCTTTTCTCTTTTTAATTTTATTAGCATAAATTAATTGTACAAAGGGGTTTTATATTTACAAATATGCATATAATGTACATTGATCAAATTCACCCTGTCTATATTAACAGCGGTGTTTTTCAACATTAACAAAGGTGTGTGGGACTGATCATCACAGGTCTCTGTGAGAATCTGGTAACTAGTTTTTTGCCAAGAAAATTACGCAAACTATTTTATAAATAAATTATCAAATTAAAAAGTCACCTGAAGTCCCTCTGTTAAAAAATTCAGAATTAGAGAATAAGTGCTAGGGGATATATTTAAGTAGTGAGAAAAGATAAAGGAATTATATATGATCATAATTATATAGCATCCCTAAAAGAATTAAAAGACAAACTATTGGAATAAAAGTTCATCAAGTAGTCAGTTATTAGAACACAGAAAAATCAACAGTATTCCCCTATGCCAGCAAAAGTAATCAGAGAATGTAACAGAAAATAATATGATTGAAGTAGAAACCAAGACCATAAAGCCTCTAGGATTAGCTTTATTAAAAATGCTCTTGATGTAATGGCTAACACTCAAGCGGCTGAGGCAGGATTGTGAGGGTGAGGCCAACCTAGGCCTTGTTTCCAAAAAGAAAAGAAAAAAAAAAAATCAATGCTTTTGGCTTTAATTCAACATTTTAAGAATTCTATTGAAAAATATTAGAAGAGGCCTGAGTAAACACATTACACCATCAATTCAAAGAAATTCTAATCTAACATTGATCCTGGAAGAAACTTGACAAAGTGACATACATACATAAAATAAAGGTCAACTGGGGATGCAGCTCAGCAGAAAAGTGCTTGCCTAGCACATATAAAGCCCTGGGTTCAATCCCCAACACATAAAAGAAAAAAAGTACATACATAAGCTAACCAGGAAAAAATTAGCGAAAGTAAGTTAGAAAAAACATATAACGGGCAAAAGACACTCACCCTACAAGATATAATATGTATAATAAAACCACAGTAATGAACAGATGGTTACTAAGTACAGGAACAAAGAGCTTAACAACATATAATACAGAATCCAGAAATATTGAAATTTGATATAATGAAAAATCAGTACAAAAAAGTAAGATTATTTCATAAGTAGATTATTTTGTACATAGTGTTGGGGAAACTGTCTCAAATGGAGAAAAATATTAAGATCTTTACTTCATACCATACCATAAAATAAACCCCAGAACAAATCAGAAATTGAAATGTAAAGCTAAAACTATGAAAATAGCAGAAAATACAAAATAACTTTACAGTGTCAGATTGCAGAAGGATTTTTAAATAAGATTCCAAAAGCATAAAGTTATGAAGAAAAAAAATGATAGTTCTAAATTTAAAATTTCAATTCCACAAAGGAGACTACATTTAAATAAATAAAATCATGTGAAAAGATATCTGCAATGATTAGAAGTAACAGCAGGATAAGGACAGAAACTCAATTTTTAAAAATTGTCAAAGAATAGAAATAGGAAACACGTAGGGAAATTTAAATAGTTAATAAGAACATGAGCAGATGGACCAACTGTTTTTATAATTACAGAAATGCAAATAAAATTAACCATAAGCATATGCTTTGCACCCAACTGACTGGCAAATTTAGAACACTGGATAAGAAGCAGTCTGTCCAGTATATGGGGAAAAATAAGGACCCTCCCGCACTGCACTGGGGATGTGAACCGGGAGCAGCCATTTTGGAAAGCAAACAGCAAAATGTCTCCAATGTGTCCAGCAATTCCATAACTAGGAACAGAGCCTAGAGAAACTTCATATTAAAGTGTACAAGACATCAGGTTTACTATAGTAGTCAGTATTTTCCCATGGAAGCAAACAGTTGGAGACAGCCTACATGCTACCAATGGGGAATAAGTGGAGTGTGGGATATGTATCTACATCTATCTATATCTGTATCTCTATATCTCTATCTATCTATCTATCTATATATCAGAAAATCTTTGCTACAATAATACAGAATCGTTTAGTGCTGCATAATTTCAATGGCATAATATTTAGTTTTTTAAAAAGGAAGGACAGTGTCAGTTATGCAAATTAATCAACAACAAAAACCAACAAGCAGTTTATACTGACATATGTGTATTATTTCTTCTGAGAAGTAATGCTGCCCTCTACCACTTGAGCCACACCTCCAGCCCTACTTCTGAGAAGTAACAGATGAAAGTATTGTGTGGGCAACAAAAGGGAAATGATGATACGAGACATATTATGCACTGAGTTGTGTTCACAGCATTCCATGAGCTGAGGCGTATACCTCTATCTTTTCTCTCAACATAGAAAAGACAATTTCAGGTAGAGAAACAAATAAGGAAATCAATATAAACTGATCAAGTAAGGTAAACCCTACCTTCTAACTGATTTATTAGCTTACCCATTTTAGCTTAGACATCCTTCAATTACCTCCCTAAAAAACGACAACCAATTTTATAATAACTGATCGTTATAAACTGCTTTGTAAGTATCTTTGAACAAAGAAATATTTAGTCATTTCTCCCTAGGGGTTGTAAATGAATTAGTCTTCAGTTAACTTTGAGAAATACAAAAAAGAAAATATTGAGGAAAAATTGCTGAATAAAGATTTCCAATTAGAATCAAAGGTAATAAAAGAATAAATTTTAGTAAAAGTATGAAATATGACTATGAATAACACAAAATACTCTACAAGAAGAAAAGTGACACTGTCATAAAAGTACATATAACATTATGCCCATCCACACTGTAATTAATAAAAACAAAAAGCCAAAGTGAGTAAAGCATAAGAGCAGGAAAATACATACATGCACAAAGAATTACAGAAACCTATACAAAAAGAAAACAAACTTCTATGCAGAGCCCCACTTTTCTCACTTGTTGAGAAGACTGCCATTTAAATGGTCCAATTAGACCCTCAATTTGAATATACAAGCACTTTCTTCCATGCCCACAAATCTACTCTGTATTTCCTCTTCTATTAACTGTATCACAAAAGTTAACTCTCCCAGGCTCAAAATACACATACAGGGCTGAAGGCATGGCTCAAGAAGTAGACAGCCAGCCTAGCAAGCAGGAAGCCTTGAGTTCAAACCCTAGTGCCTCCAAACTAAACCAACAATGCTCCCCACAAGGACAGTATCACTCTTCCTTTTCTCTTGATTCCCACATGCTCAACTAAGTCCTGACTATTCTATGTCTGAAATCTCAAACTGCTCCCTGTCCTCTTCTACCTCCAATGTGTCCTTATCCAACTGGTCTTTCTGTTTTCAGTCCCTCCATTCCTCACAACCCAATCTTAAACTAAAGTTTTATCTTTAAATAAAATTGAATCATGTCATGGTTTTGTCCAATTTCTTTCAACAGTCCAAATTACCACATGTGAAAGTCAACATCCACTACAACTTTAAAAATTTTTTTTTATTTTTTAGATAGTGTCTCTCTCTGTAGCCCAGGCAGGCCTCAAACTTGTGACCCTACTGCTTCAGCCTCCCAAATGACGGGATTATAGTTATGTGCCACCATGCCTGGCTTACAACTTAATTTTAATCTCTTTCTGATTCTGTCTCTAACACTATTTCAAACACCCAATTCAACATATTTCTTCCTTGCTTTAGGCACACAGTTGGTGCTCCAATACAGGCATCTCTGAACACTCAAACTGCAGATCAACTTTCAATGCCCACTTCAAGAACTCCTACTTCTAGACATAAGCCGTAAGGTAGCAAGAACAGAAAGAACCATGGCCAATGGTCCTTAAAAGCAAAGAAAGTACAGTTGACAAAGAAAGATGTTGATTTTGTTTGGGCAATCTTCATGCTTAAGGATGCTAATTTTTTTTTTAACAGTTAATATTAAAAACCAAAAAAAAAAAAAGCAAAAGAAAAAAATCTACCAAATGAGAATTTTTAATTTGTTCAACTTTTTTTTTTTTTGGTCGTACTGGAGTGAACTCAGGGATTCATGCTTGCTAGGCAGGTACTCTACCACTTGAGCCACTCCACCAGATCTATTTTGTGTTGGGTATTTTCAAGATAGGGTCTCACAAACTATTTGCCAGGGCCGGCTTTGAACCACAATTCTCCTGATTTCTGTCTTCTGGAGTAGCTAGGATTATAGGTGTGAGCTACTGGCACCCAGCTTGTTCAACATCTTATAACTCTAAATAGGAGGTTTTGATGACAAATGTGCAGAATTTATCTACAAGCACTTGATAAAAACAAAAGAATCAAAGCATTTAACATAATGGTCAACTGCTTAAGACAAAATGAACAACAAAAAAACCTGCTTAATTCTGATATACTTCAGACATCCTAAGTATGACTGATACACATAATTCTTACATCAAATTCCCTGAAACTGAACGTCAGGGTCATATTCCATAAGCACACTGTGGGCTTACTTACCTTCTGATTTTCTACCCTGTTACTTTCTTGTCTACTCATTTTGACCCACAGTTGTATGGAACAGTTTAACCAGTAATAATTAATTCATTCACGTTTCAACACAATTGGTTACAAACCAAACATTTCATTGCTACAAAAATCATATAAATGCTATCATATCTTTAAACAACCAGTGTTCTGACCATCGTAACTTTTAAAAGGATATTAAAAGCAAATGATATTAGTAATAAAAAATGCCAAGAGACTAAATATGAGGGTCCTATTCAAGTATTGGGCACAAATTATCATCGATCTGATCCAAAACTGCTCAAATGTCCAACATTAACAATATTATCATAGAAAGGGTGGATGCTAATAAACACAAAAGTGTAAATATTGTATTTATTCCTTTGAGTTAAACTAACATATACTCATGACAGAGAGAGAGAGAGAGACGTAAGTATTATACTCTATATCCATATAATTCATAAAATTAGCTTATTATAAAAACAAGGCTCCCTATTCTCTACCTCAAATTATACCTGGCAACTAGGTAAATCTTCCCCAAAAAGGTGGTGCTGCAGAAGGCTGGTGATTCTGAGAAAAGGTAAGCAGAAGTCCTGTAAGTATTTTTCCATGGATTCAGGAGACCAAGCAATAGGACAAACCTAAAGTTAAAAGAGAAAATTTGAACAATTCGTTCTATAATAAACATACCTTTAAAAAAATTACATTCCTAATAGCAACAAAATCTACATTTTTAAAACTAAATAGCCACTACAGCTGATCTTAGCACAAGCATACCATTGCACACTCCTGAGTTCCTTCTTCATAGTATAACTTTCCTTTTGATAGTTCACTTATAACAAAGCTCAATAACACTTCATAAGACTTTTCTGCATCAGATGTATTCTAGGGAAAAATGAGGATATTAGTTACATTGGTCATTGAAAATTACAAAAAAGTTTCATTGGAAATAACTGTGGAATAAAACTGTAACTCTATTATTTTTCACGTATGCAGACTTCAGTTCTTCTAAATCTGGGTAAAACCATACACTTCTGGATTCACAATGAAGTTGAGTAGGCAGTCAAAGCTATTCTAATACTTCTTTAAAAGATGGGAAATAAATTACACAATGTATATGCAAAAATTCATTTTACCAGTAATGTCTAATCCTGAGAATTCGTCCTAGGGAAATAACACAAAAGAAAAATCTATATGCACAAGACATTCATTGCAGCACCATAATGGCAAAAAAGAGAAAAGAAAAAATTAGAAATAACCAACAAAAAGCAGGCAGTTGGCTGGGCATGGTGGCACATGATGGAATGCCAGCCATCTGGGAGGCATAGAAAGAGAGAATTTCAGTTAGATGCCAGTCCAGGCAAAAGAACATCAGCAAAACCCCATCTAAATCAACAAGCCTGGAGTGGTGATACCCTCTATGATCCCAGATACACAGGAGGCCACAGACAGGAGGATTATGGTCTGAAATCAAACCCTGTACCACCGAAAAAAAAGAAATACACCACTTTATAGTCACTAAAATAAAAGGAAAGGATGACATGCAAGTTAAAGATAAAGCAATAATTTTAATAAGATGTCATTTACTTATTAACTATACTTTTAAAATATAAAAATATAATAAATGAGTAAACACTCATGGAATATAAGTTTATTCTGAACTTTTTCATGGCATTGATAACAAAATTTGCTATTCGGTGATACTTAGACCAAGTATTTTACAGTTCCTCATTGTTTCATTCAAGTTAGTGTATTCTTTTCGACTAGACTATAAACTCTAAAATGTCAGAAACTATGTTGTCCATTTACCATGTGTCCTTCATAACAAAAATCGGAGCAATAAGTATCTGGTGGCTAATGGAAGGAATTTATTTTGGTAATATTGAAGTTTTTCATCTTGGAATTTGCCTTTATATGGCTTTTTTTTGGGGGGAGGGTAACTGACATTTGAACTTGAGGCCTCACACTTGCTAGGCAGGTGCTCTACCACTTGAGCCACTATGCCAGCCCTCAATGTGTCTTTTTTGGTAATCAATTTTTGCATTATTTTAAAATTTCTCCTCTGCTTTCTGCTGTGTTTATTCAGCACATAGTATTATGACTTGATTCTAAACTATAAAAATGTATGTGACTCTCAGGCTGTTCTCCTTACACAGTGTGACCTGCCCCACCCTTGTCTACTTAACAACTATAACAGGATATTTACTTGCTAATTATGATGGCCAATAAGTTTCACATAATTCATAAGAATTAATAACCCATTAAATATCAAAACAGAAATATATTGCTCTTAAAAATTGATTTAATCAAATTACTTTTTAAATAGGCAGCATTCACTTAAACCCAAAATATAGAAAACTGAAAATATAACCATGGATTTGCAACTTGTTAATCAATGTGACATATTTAAGATTCTCAGCCAGGTGCCAGTGACTCACGCCTATAATCCCAGCTAGCTACTTGGGAGACCGAAACAGGACTGTAGTTTGAGGACAGCCCAAGCAAAAAAGTTAGCAATACCCCATCTCAAAAAAATTGTAAGTCTCTATCTCAATGGAAAAAAAAAAAAAGCTGAGTGTGGTGGCGTGCACCTCTCATTCCAGCTTTAGTAGGAAGTTTTTTAAAATAGGAGGATTGCAGCCCAGACTGGCCTGGGCAAAAAGTGAAACCCTATCTCCAAAATAAGCAGCCCCAAAAGGGCTGGAGGCATAGTTCAAGTGATAGATCATCAGCCTAACAAGTGCAAAACCCTGAATTCAAACCCCAGTACTGAAAAAAAAAAAGATTCTACAATATATTATCCAGCCTAAAAGCTTCTTAAATTTAGTATACTCTTTTGAATCCAAGATTTATAGAATATAACAACAGAAAAGTATTTCAAGGATAATATTTTATGTTCAGATAATCCTAAATAAGTTCTATATCAACTCAGAAAGTTAAATATAATGTAATATTTACTAGTTTATTGAGAACTCCTCTCACCAAAGGAGAATTGGATGGGAAAAATTATTTAACTTTACACATACAGAAATGTAGGAAATCTTTGAAAAAAATCAAAGAGCAGGCTCATGAATCTTATGAAAGAATTTCTGAGAACATGGATATAAGACCCAGAGTCAAGATCAAAAGATTCCTGAGACAGGTGGCAAAAATAAGTGGATTAAATAAAGAAAAGGATCAAGAATTGACAGATATAAGAGGGTCTGTATTGGGTAGAATGCTTTGTCTAAATTATAATGTTTCTTAAACTTTGGGGGGCATTAAGCCCTTTAAGTATATTTTTGATGTGATGATCTGACCTCCAGCAAACAAAACAAAACTTATCCACAGATCTCAGATTAAGAAATTCTGGCATAAAGACTCTTAGCAAAATGCCATTGACCAAAAAAAAACAAAATTTATACACATTAATGATGATTTTTCCAGCAGAACTAGACCTCATTATGAAATTAACTCTAATATCATGGTCAAAAACACATAACATCTATATTTTTATTGCCCTAGGCTAGATTAGATCTGGCAAAAAGGTTTTCATTAGAATTATCATACCTGGGCTGGCAGAGTGTCTGAAATGGTAGAGTGCCTGCCTACAAAGCATGAGGCCCATGGAGTTTTGGTGGTACCCTAGTACCACCAAAAAAAAAAAAAAAAAAAAAAATTATCATACCTAAAAGGAATTATGATGATGGAATAAATGAGTAAGACTCAATGAAGAAGGGAAGGAAAGACGGAAGTGACAGGCGGGAAGAACTAAAAGAATAAAATGAAAAAAGAAGAATGAATTATGTAGAAATCTAAGAACTTACAGAACTCACAGTGATATACTTCATAAATAAATACAGTCACTGCTATTATTTACAATCTGCTATGTATCTCAATGTTTAGATCTATTGTAGAAAAAACTAGTAATGTGGCAAACCAACCACCATAATTTTTTGTTTTAATTGGCTAATTTATACACATACATGCTAATATACTACTAATTTATGTCCTGTTGATACCATGCCTCATAGTAAGTGTTTATCAATTATGAATTGAGAAGAAAACTGATAGGATATTTCCCTGAATTGCATCATATTTCCTCTGTCACAGATTTATAACTGTTTTATTTTGTTACTAAATTCTCCTTTTAGCAGATAAATATAGACACAAATTACAAAGAAAGTTTTAAATATATAGTTTTTCATAACCAGACAGTTTACTAAGGAAACATTTAAACAATGACACAACGTAGAAATCTAACATACTTGGTCTGAATTCTATTTGAATACTAATAACCCAAATGTAAGATTAGATTGCATTCAGAGGAAATGAAAGAACACACAGAAGAAAGACAATTACAGAAGTCAAAGTTACCCAAGAATCAACTAAGAACAAGGGGAAAAAATGTTTAAGAAGAAGACGGGGCTGGAGGCATGGGTCAAATGGTAGAGCCCCTGCCTAGCAAGTGCAAAGCCCTGAGCTCAAACCCCAGTACCACCAAAAGTTAATTGAATGAATGAATAAATTAAAGGAAGAAGTCTGTTTTGCAAATTTAGCAAACAGAATTTTTAAAACAGAGAGGTCCATATATCATATAGTTCAAACTTCTCATTTACCCTTAAGAAATCTGAGGCTAAAACAGTTTTTATGCTTTGGTCAAAAAAGTAAAATCTCTACTCAGTGGCAGGAGATTGGCCTAGTAATCAGGTTTGATGGTCAACTGACCAATATCCTTAATTAAGGTATAATGCACTTTTCTATGTTAAATTTCTAGCTGGGTGCTAGTGTCTCACACTTGTAATCCTAGCTACTTGGGAGGCAGAAATCATGATGATCACAGCTCAAAGGCAGCCCAGACTAACGGTTCATGAGACCCTATCTTGAAAAACCCCTTCACAAAAAAAGGGGCTGGTGGAGTGGCTCAAGGTGAGGCCCTGAGTTTAAAGAGGCACAATTAAGAAAAGGTTAGGATTTTTTTCAGCTTAGACATGGAGACAAAAAGCCATCTTTGGGTTGTGATTGAGGATAGGGACAAAGAGAAGAAAAAATAATGAATAAATAAAATAGCTAAGTCTGCAGACAATTTACTATTCTGCTACTGAACTGGCTTTTTTTGTTTGGTTGGGATTTTTGTTTCTTTGTTTTCAAACAGAGTCTGGCTAGGATGTCTGCGCTGGCCTGGAACTCACTGTATAGTCCAGATTGGTTTCAAACTCATGCCTCCTGTCTTCAGCCTCTTGAGTGTTGAAATTAGAGGCATGCACCACATTCTCTCTCTCTCTCTCTCTCTCTCTCTCTCTCTCTCTCTCTCTCTATATATATATATATATACACACACACACACACACACACACACAAATATATATGTTTAAGGCTTACAGAAAAGGCAAAACAAAACTTCTCAAATTTAAACAGATTAAGGCCAAGTTTAGAGACAGATGCAGAAGGCTGAACTGTGCGAGGAAACACTTTTAATTAGTTTTAGCCTGAAGGTGTTCCATTTACAATTCAAATACTGTTAACTTATTTGTCTTTCAAACACCTATTCTTGGGCTGGGGAGTGTAGCTCAGTGATACAGCAAAAATACAAAAAAAAAAAAATGTTGAGTCAAATACCTACTCTCATTTACCCATACCCTCAATGAAATGAGTTCCACAAACTACTGAATGACAAATTCAGAAAAGAGACTAACCTTCTTAAGAGCTCCAACATGTTTCCAGGCTGACCTATCTTCCTCACTGCATTTAACTGAAAGTGCTGCAAGAGCCTGTGTATACAGTAGGGTAAAAAGTACCTTCACAATGCAGGTGAAGTGCTCTACAAGAGAAAGAGAATATCATTATTTCTTTGGAATCTAGACAATTTGTATGGAAGATAATCTCACAAAGATATGCCTTTCCTTTTTTTAACACTTAAGCAGTTAGTAAAATGAAATTATAATGTGCTATATTTGCTGCTCAACAGACCTGAAGTTATATATGAAAGCAAAGCTCCTCTCTATACATCACAGAATATGTCAATGAGAAGCATTTAGCAGAATGGAAAGTATGCTCTCTTTTAGAAGACCAGAAAGCTAATGCTACTTAACCTGGAATACTCATGGAACCTTGCCAAATCCCCTCACTGGGCTTTAGGTACTCAATAACAATGTTTGAGAATCTCAGTGTTTAAAACCAAAATATCATCTACCTCTAATATGAGACATGGGGGCACACACTGTAACCCCAGAACCCAGGAGCCTAAGGCAGGAGTATCACAAGTTTCTGGCTACCATGAGCTACCTAGTGAGTTCCAGGCCAGCCTCAGCTACATAGGGTTTTGACCCTGTCTCAAAAAAATTTTATGAAAGGGGCAGGATATTGGGATGGCTTGAGAGACAGAACACCTGACTAGCAAGCGCTAAAACCTGAGTTCAAACCCGAAGACTGCCAAAAAAAAAAAAAAAGTGCTTGTAACATCAAAGATAATAACACACAAGATTCTAAACTTGAATCTGCATTTTTTTCTTCAAATTAAGTATTCCTTCTATAATAGCAGTATAATAGTATACTGCTTCCCTAGGAAGTGGATATTTCCATTTAATTCAGTTACTGGGGTCCAAAGTTTATAGGTATCTTTGATATTTTCTTTTCTCCTCCCCCATTAAAACAATAATCAAGTCTTGTCAATTATACTTAACAACCTACAGCCAAATTCCATCTTTCTTGCCTAGCTTAAGTGGTTTTGTAAGATCCCCAAGAATACTTTCAGGTTTGATGATTCACAGCACTATTAAGATCAGTATATTCATACCCATAGCTATCATTTATGGCACTGAAAGGATACAAATCAGTCTTCTCCCAGTACAATTACACAGAATGTGCTTAATTCCTCCATCAACAAGTTGTAAGAGCAGATGTGAATGTATACCAGGAAACCAAAGATTCAGTCCTCAAGGATCTTACTGTAGGCAAGCCATTCAGGCACTCTCTGCCCAGCATACACCAAAATTCCAGATCTCCAGGAGGGAAGCAGGTATGTTTAGCATGAACCACATCGTTTATACAGATAAGGCATAGTGAATCATGCTTATCAGTTCTAAAAATGGTAGTGCTCTCCTAAAATCCAAGCTCCCTAATGCCAGTCAAGACCCAAGCTTGCAACTAAGCCTTCTATGTTAATTCAACTTGCCCAGTAGTTTATCTGCATTACTTCTTAGTAATAGGTAGAAAATATTCGGGAAAAAATGGTCTGTACTGAACATGTACAGACTTATTTTTATCATTATTTTCTAAACAATGCAATGTAACTACTTTCATAGGATTTACACTGTATTAGTTATTGTACAGTGCAAATTATATTATTATAAAAATACACTGTACCATAAGTAATCTAAGAATTCCTTAAACATACCAGAGGATGTATGTAGGTTATATACAAATACTATGTCATTTAATGTGGAGAACTTGAACATCTCTGGATTTTGATATCAATGGGGTCCTGGAACCAAGACATGGTTGTACAACTTTATTCACCTCTGTGGCTGGCTTATTTTATGTAGCATAATGTCCTCCAGGTTTATCTACATTGTTCTAAATGGAAGATTTCCTTCCTTTTTAAGGCTAAATAACATTTCTCTTTCTCTCTCTCTCTTTCTCCCCCTTCCATCTGTTCCTCCCTCCCTCCCTCCCTCTCCCTCTGTGTGTGTGTATACACATCCCATTTTCTTTATCCATTAATTCATCAACAGATACTTTTATTGTCGCCATATCTTGGCTATTGACAATAATGCAGCAATGAACATGGGAGTGCAGATATCTCTTGAAGATAATGGTTTTATTTTTCCTTTGTATATATAGCCAGAAGTAGGATTGCTGCATCATATAATTCTATTTTTAATTTTTGGGGGCCTCCATACCCTTTCTACAATGACTGTACTAATTTTCATTCCTACTAATAGGTATAAGGGTTTCCTTTTTTCCACATCCTCACCAATGTTTATTAACTTTCTAACAGGTAAAAAGTGGTATTTCTTCGTGTGTGTGTGTGTGTGTGTGTGTGTGTGTGTGTGTTTCTTTTTTCAGTATTGGGGCTTGAACTTAGGGCCTCATACTTGCTAGGCAGGTGCTCTACCACTTGAGCCACTCTACCAGCCCTTCTTTGCAATTTTGATAATGAAATTCTCTGATGGTTATAAATACTGAAAAAAACTGATCTTTTAAAAAGAATTATTTGGTATCCTTCCACTAGGTCTCTTTATATAAGCTGAAACACTTTTCCTCGCCTCATAGTCTGGCTAACTCTTAAGTCAGCTGGATGAAATCTTAAAAGTCATTTCCTGAGGAAGTTTCCTTCAGTTTAAATTATGTTTGTATAAATGCACATGCCACACATGAGCTGTCTGTGATCCATGCTAATCATTTAGGGTGATGATGTCACATAAGCTGAGTTGGTCAGAGTAACCCCCTGGGATTATTATAATAAAGGTGAAGGGAAGATGTAAAGTGTGAGGCTGAAAGTGTCATTGGTCATGCTTCTGGCTAATGGCAGAACCTGTCTAAAGCAAGACTGAGAGGTAGGGCAAGATGACGGATTAGAAGCATCCACTGTTTTTGATTCCATGAATGAGAAGAGTCAAATAACACATGAGAGAACATATTCTGAAGAGAGAAAGAGAAGAAGAGCTTCAGGAAAAAAGTGTCCAGATAGCAGAAGAGCATGGAGAAACAAAGGCAACAGAGAAAAGCAGCAAACAGTTCCATGCCCTCTCCTCAGGTCTCAGGGGAGACCTGATGAAGCAATCACAAGGCAAGCCAGTTGACCTGGTGACAGACTGGCAATTCTAGTGGCAGGTAAAGCCCACAGCATGCCCCTAAGCCTTAAACCCAATGCAGGGATTTGGTGAGACAGTGAATGCTCTGGTGTGGAAGGTTAGCCTCAGTGAAGAAAGACATTCTGTCGCCTATCTCTAAAAGCCATGGCAAGATGCAGTCTTGAGAGAGAACCTATTGTTTGAGACTCAGATACTCTGAAAATAAAGAAACAATCATGGTTGAAGAAGTCTTGGGATACCTGACCACAGTAGGTAGGAAATGGCCATTAGAGATGATCATGGAGAGGGAGAGGGTCTAACATGATTCCCCAGAGAAATACAAGTAACAGGGAGCTCAAGCAGCAAAGGGCATTGGTAGTTGGACGCCATGCCCTCTGCCCCATTCTCCCTGGTGAGACACAAATCCAATCTCATGAGGATCTCAGAGGACATGAAATACTGAGCCTGTGGTTACAGTAGTATTTGACCTCCAGAGCCTGCCTCTTAGCTGTGTTGGCTGCTAGATGGGTCTGAGGGCCTTAGCCCAGATGCTCCACAGTATAGTTCTTGAATTCTTAGCCAGAGCAATAAGGCAAGCAAAAGAAATAAAAATAATAGAAATAGGAAAGGAGCAAAGACAAATTATTCCTATTTACTGATGATATGATCCTATACTTAAAAGACCCTAAAGACTCCACAAAAAAACTCTTAGATCTGACAAACACTTTTGGGCAAAGTAGCAGAATACAAAATCAGCAGCTTTTCTATATACTAATAAGAACAGTGTGAGAAAGAAATCAAGAAAACAATACCATTCATAATAGCCTCAGAAAAATGCATAAACCTGACAAAGGTAATGAAAGACCTCTTCAATGGAAACTATAAAATCTTGGAGAATGAAACTGAAGACACCAGAAGATGGAAAGACCTCCATGTTCATGGATCAGAAGAATTAGTATGGTGAAAATGCCTATATTATAAAAAGCAATCTACAGATTCAATGAAATCCCCATGAAAATTCCAATGTCGTTATTTACAGAAATACAAAAGTCAATCCTAAACTTCATGTGGAAGCACAAAGGACCTTGAATAGCCAAAGGAATCCTAAGCAAAATGAGCAATACTGAAAGTATCTAAATACCAGACTTCAAGGGGCCATAGTAAAAAAAATAGCATGGAACTGATATAAAAATGGATACAAAACAAATGGAATAGAAAACCCAGAAATAAGCCCACACAGCTATAGCTATAGTCATCTGATTTTTGACCAAGGTGCCAAAAATATACAGCCTCTTCAATGAATGGTGTTGGGAAAACTGGATATCCACATGTAAAAGACTGAAGCTAGATGCCTATCTCTCACCCTGCACAAAAATCAATTCAAAATGGATCAAAGATTTAAATGTAAGACCTAAAACTTTGAAATTACTTAAGGAAAACATAGGGCAAACCCTTAGAAACAGGCATAGGTAATGACTTTCTGAATAGGATTCCTGTTTTTCAAAAAATAAGAATAAGAATTGGAAAATGGTATTATATCAAATTAAAAAGCCCCTGCACAGCAAAAGAAACAATTACCAAAATAAACAGACAACCCACAGAATGGAAGAAAATCTTTGCTAGCTATTTACCACACATAGGATTAACATCCATAATATATAATGAGCTCCAAAAATTGAACAGTAATACACATGTGCATGGAAGCAATACTAAGAGTCTCTCTGTATAGCTATCCTTATTTCAAACTAGCAAAAATGCTGTATCTTTCTTATTATTGCTTATGTCTTCTTTTCAACAAAATTGGAGAAGAGGGCAAAACAGGTTCTGCCTGGAAGACAGGAGGGGTAGGGGGAGAAATGGCCCAATGTGTGCACATATGAATTTTTTAAAAAGTTCTAACCAGCAGGACCTTGCCCTTTGCTAAGTGAAAACTGTTAAAACAATAAGTATATTTCCGAGAGGAAGGAAAAAAAGCAAAAAAAAATTGAACAAAAAAAGGACAAATTAATAAATGAGCAAATGAACTGAACATACAGTTCTCAAAAGAAGTAAAAATGGCCAATAAATACATAAAAAAAAGTTCACCGCCCACAGCCATAAAGGAAGTGCAAATCAAAACTACACTGAGATTCTATCTCAGCCTAGCCAGAATGGCTATCATGAAGAAAACAACAAATGTTGGCCAGGATGCAGGAGTGGGTTGGAAGGATCCCTTATACACTATTGCTGGGAATGTAAATCTACCCAGCCAATATGTAAATCAGTATGGAAGTTCCTCAAAAAACGAAAAATAGAACTACCATATGATCCTGCTATACTCCTCCTGAGTATGTATCTGAAGGCATGTAAGTTAGCATACAATAGACATATCTGTACACTCATATTTATAGCAGCACTATTGACAATAGCCAGACTATAGAATCAGCCTTTGTGTTCATTAACTGATGAATGAATAAAGAAAATGTGCTACATATACACAATGGAATATTATTCAGCCATAAAGAAAAATGAAATTATGTTATTTGCAGGGTACTGGATGAAACTGTAGATCATGTTAAGCAAAATAAGACAGATTGAGAAAGACAAATATCACCAATTGTCTCTCATATGTGGAACCTAGACCTAAAAAAAAAAAAAAACAATGACAGTAAATTGGGGGGAACTATTTGGGGTTGGGAACCAGCAGGAGGGGAAGGGTGAAAAGAGACAGTGAAGAGGTTTGAATATGACTGAAGTTTCATACTCATGTATGAAAATAGAATAAAGAGTCTGAATTTTAAAAGGAGAGCAGAGGGGATAACAAGAGTAATAGAGGAGATAAATTTATTAATTTATTTCCATACATAGGCATGTATGGAAATATCATAATGCAACTCCTATGTATAAATTAACATATGGTAATAAAAATAAAACATAAAACAAAAATTTAAAATAAAGAAAGACTAACTGAAGCTGACCCATGGCAAAAGGAGAGCACCAAGATGAAAAGAATTCTGCCAGCATCT